GGCCTCCTAAAATGAACTGAATTAAATTCTCACTATAGCACCACTTCCCCTCTGGAATTACCATGGATTCTGCCCAAACTGTTTTAAGATTTGCATCATCATGGGGCTAAAACAGGTCAGAAGCTTAATGTAATATATCTGCTGGTTGCAACTTGGCTGTGCTAAGACAGGATCAAGTATTTGGATGGTTCCTCGTGAAAAACAGTCCTTGTCACACACAAAGCTACCAAGTGCTGATGATACAGGTCAGCTTAAGACATTCTCCCTCTCATGGTAGTTTATAGGCATAGGGAATCTTGCACTGAAATATTAAAACCCCCAAATGCTACAACTTTAGCTATGATCAATTATTCAAAACGTGTTCAATGAACACATGCAGAGAGGGAATGGCATTGCAACTGCAGACCACATCACCTTGAATTGGAAGCCTAAGGTGGGGCAGATCCTGACCTCATTAACTCAGACCACTTTGTTTTTTTTTTTTATAGTTGATATTTATTGAATTTTCAAAAAATAACAACAAAAATTTCCAAAAAAAATTTAAGGACACAAAAAACAAAATTAGTGCATAAACAAAAAAGAAAAGAAAACCCAGCCGCAAAGAAAAAAAAAAGAGAAACAGAAAAACAAAAATATAAAGTCCTTTACAATCTCTATTGACTTCCTTTCTAGACTTCCTCCTCCTCCCCTCTTTTGTTTCTTAATTTTTAATTTTTACAGCAAATCCTTTCTGTTTTTTCATAACAATCTGTCATTACGTTTCCTTATTCTATTTTCCCTCTTGTCATATAAAAACTTTAAAACTCATAGCTTATATTCAATATTTACCAAATTCTTGCATCATTACCTTTTACGAATCATTTACCAATCCTTACTTAAGTCATGTAATTTCATTCAACATCCTTCAAACATTTGTAAGCATTCCCAATATTAAAAAGTAAAAAAGAAAAAATAATAAGTCAAATTCAGTCCAGTCAGCTTCCAACCTCCCTCCCCTGGACCCGGGATTGTCAGTCCTTTTAACCTCGGTAATCCGGCTCCTTAACCTGGTTGTCTCGTATCCGAGGCCCTCAAGTCTCTTTCTTGCCCCTTTCACCACTCTTGTTGATGATTCCTTTCCAGTCGTGGATGCTCCAGCAAGAAAATGCTTTTGACCCTTTGCAACAAGTCCATCCCAAACCCATTGCCCAAGCCAGACAGCAAATAATACCACTTCAAATTTCCACAAAGCTTGGAGACTTCGGCTACTCCAATCCTCTGATAGCCCATCACCAGACTCGGAAGGTCCCAATAACCATATGGAGGGGGGGTCGATCCATCCCCCCATTTCCAAATCTGACCACATTTCATCTTTCCGAATCTGGTTTGTCCCAAGTTCATTTATCAAGTTCAAAGGCTGATCTTGCCCGTCCAAAGGTCCCTCCATCTCTGAAGCCTCCGTCACTACAGCAGGTTCATATGCTTGTATAGCCTTTAACTGAATTTCATTTGTTTGCTGCTGTGCTCTGGTAACTTCCATCATCAAGGTCGTCTCCTGACGCATCTGGTCCAGCTGGGCACTTAGTTTTGAAAAACCTTCCAGGAACAATTGTTCAAGCCTTTGTACTAGCATTGTCCTTCAAGGTCAAAGAAAATTCTTTCCCACGAGAATAGTCCAATAGTCCTTCTCTTTTAATCTCTCTGCGTTGCAATTTCACTAAATTCCACTAGATGGAATTTTTTTTTTTTTAAAGGAATAAAAGCAACAGCAACAATCTTTCTTTTCCAGAAACACTTTATCCAAAATTCCCCCTTCCAAATTCAAGAGGCAACAGTAGAATCAAAATGTTACCCTTCTTTTAACTAACTGTCGAGCTGGATAAACTTCAGAACGTCAATTCTGACAGCCCGCTCCTGGTTCAGGGTGGTGGAAAATTGCTTTATTTTAAACTCACTTCCGCAGGATTGAAAAGTCCAAATACAACCCCCTTCTTCTCCTGCAGTCAAAGGGGGGGGGTTCAGAAATCTTAGATGTTGAATTCTAGTTCTCTTAAAATTTAATTTTCAGGCTTTAGTATATTTTGTCTTTGCTTTCTTCACATAACAAAAGAACGGAAGGCGACTTCCTGTTTAGACCTTCCCATTCCGAGTCCCAATTAAGTTCAATTTCAAGTCCAATATTATTTGTTTATTCACCAGTCTTAAAAGTGATTCAACTCTTCCAAGATCAGGTACTCACGGATAGATGTTTTAGATGCCAAATTGTCCAGGAAAAAGGCAGCGCTCTCCGATAACGGCAGTGCGGCTTTGCTGCACGGAGGAAGCAGACGACTCACAGCACCACGCACCTCCCACTCCGGAGCCCGTTACCGGGCTCCTGTACAAGGGAGAGAGCGCTCTCGGTGCCCGCCGAGTCCCACGTCCACAGGCTTCTTCCGCCTGTGGTTTTTGCGGGTCCCCGCTGCGCCGTAGCGGCAGGACCCAAGCCTCCGTGCAGCGGGTTCCCTTCAGTCCGAAGGGAATTCCGCCATTTTCCGGAGGCGCCACCCCGGAAGCCTAACTCAGACCACTTTGACAGGTGAGCAAGCCCCCCACCTGTCAATCACCTGACATCACCATGAAGTTTATTTCCTTTGTGCACCCAGTTTGATTTCAAACTGCATGGGGAAAGAAAGTGTTTCCCTGTGGGGTTTCCTGTAAGTGCTGGGCACCTGATTAGCTCTTACAGCAAGCCTTGCTTTGGGCAGCAATTGGCTGCATGATGGAGTTTTCAATCAGGAACTCCATAGTGAAGCTGATTTCAGCAGGGCTAAGCAGTGAGACCTCCCCATGGGATTGTACTTGGGCAGGATATGTCTGAACTAGGCCTTAGGGATAGCCACTATTTTCTCATTGAGTTAAAGCAGAAAACTGCAGCTCAATACTATCAGTAGTAGTACACAATGTACCAAAGTAGAGTGCCTTAGTTCTCAGGCTGATGCTCTCTGGAAAGGTAAGAATGAGCACATTGTGATAAAGTGCCTCTGACTAACACTGCCTAGTTCCACACATTCTTCTGTCCAAACTCTATTAAAATCAAGCTTAACTCTACCCGAATCATTGGGATGACTTCGTTTATAGTACCAGGTGTGAATTTGTCACTGGAGAATTGGACTGTTCTGATCAGCTTCAGGAAAGCATGAGGAGATTTATGGTAATGTTGAATCATGTGGAATCCCTGATTTTCTTCAAGCATTGCAAACTGACCTATATTTGTAAACCTGTTTAGAATGACCCTGGCAGACTTTCCGAGCTGTCTGCTGAATTTTGGAGCTACATTTCAGAGCCAAAGGCCACTGTGGCAAACAGTTCTCAAAGAAAGTTTATTGTAATTCTTGTGTGTTGACAAGTGAACCTTCATTTAACATATCGTCCTTGATATTCCCAGTTCTATATTTTGCTGGGGAATTGACAGGTTAACAACCACGACTGAAATATTCACAAATCTGTCTGTTTGAAAGGGAAGTACAAAAATGATCTGGCTTCCACTTGAACTCCAATGAAAACAAGACTAGCCCTCACTAGAATACATTTTCCCCTAAGAGGTGAAATGTAGAAAGAAAACAGAACTCTTTGAATCACCCAATTGTCCCCTTTTCAAATGCATTGTGCAGCAGCTGTGAAAAAGGCAAATTCCATGCTAGGGATCATTAGGAAACAAACTGTAAAGAAAACTGCCAGTGTCATGATGTCATTATATCTATGGTGTAACCACATTGGAATACAGTATAGCATGCAGTTCTGGTTACCTCACCTCAACATGGATATTCTAGAGTTGAGGAAAGTTCTGATAAGGGCAACCAAAATGGTGATGGGGGTGGAGCAATGCTCCTATGAAGAAAGGTTGCAGCATTTATGACTTTAGTTTAAACAAAAGGTGAGTAAGATGTGCAATGATCAAAGTTTATAACATCATGTAAGGCACGGAGAAAGTGCATAGAGAAAATGTCTTCTTATTTCTCTTATATTTCTCCCTGCTAATTACAGAGATTTAAGGTATTTAATTTCATTGGAATGTGATATACATCAAGAATGGGGAACCTGTGACCTTCCAGATATTGTTGAACTCCAACTCCCATCAACCCTAGCATGGCCAAGGAACAGAGGTGATGGGAGTTGGAGTCTAGCAAAACCTGGAGGATCACACATTCCAAACCTGGTGTAAAATGTGAAGGAAGAAGTTCTGAAGTGCTGTTGCAGGACAATCCGCATTGTGAAACATGTTTCAAAAACTAAGGTGTTTTAGAATGGAAGCCTTGTGCAGATCTTCACAATAATCTGATGTTCCAATGGCGATTAGTCCTGGTGGATTTGCTTTCTGGGTGAAATCATTTTATCTGATTATCTGATTTATCTGATTAGGCCAGATGAGCATTATTTTGATGCCTGTATCATGAAGGTAAGGGATGTGGGTGGTGCTGTGGGTTAAACCTCAGAGCCTAGGGCTTGTCGATCAGAAGGTCGGCAGTTCAAATCCCTGCGACGGGGTGAGCTCCCGTTGCTCGGTCCCAGCTCCTGCCAACCTAGCAGTTCAAAAGCTTGCAGTGCAAGTAGAGAAATAGGTACCGCTCCGGCGGGGAAGGTAAACAGCATTTCCGTGCGCTGCTCTGGTTCGCCAGAAGCGGCTTAGTCATGCTGGCCACATGACCCAGAAGCTGTCTGCGGACAAACGCCGGCTCCCTCGGCCTATAGAGCGAGATGAGCGTGCAACCCCAGAGTCGGTCATGATTGGACCTAATGGTCAGGGGTCCCTTTACCTTTTTATCATGAAGGTGCCATGAAGTGCTTCAGGGCTCCTTGCTCCAACTCACATTGTACCATAGAGATCCTGCTTTACCTCTAACAAACCCCAAACACCTCCGAGCCATCACACTTCATGGATTTGTTTTAAACCATAGAAGCATAGAATCATTGAATTGCAGGAAGTGACCCTGAGGATCATCAAGTCCAACCCCTTTCAGTGCAGGAATATACAGTACAGCTGTCTCATACAGGGATCGAACCTGCAACCTTGGCATTATCAGCACCATGCTCTAACCAACTGAGCTATCCGATAAACTCCCCTAGTAATTATCGCCAGGGTCACAGGCAGTATGCCTCTGAGTACCAGTTGCTGGAGAACACAAGCAGAAGAGTGCTGTCATGTGGGCTTCTGGGCTTCCCATTGACATGTGGGAGGGGGCAGGCTGAACTAGATGGGCCTTTGGTCTGATCCCGGTGAGATCTTCTTATGTATGTTCTCATAATCACAAGAATTTGAACCAATCTGAACACGTTAATTGCCCCCATCAATCATCACCATCATGCTTGCCAAGGGAAATCAATTAATCATAGCGGATTCAGTAGTGAGGCCAACACTATTTGTATATAGAAAGCAGACCTGTCAGCGAAACGAGGCACATATGGAGGAAAGCTGAGGACTGGGTGTTCTCTTAGGTTTCTGCTATTTGAGCTAAAGAAGAAACATTGTTTAATTTTCTCCCTAATTATTATATCTCGCTGTTTTTGTGCCAATCAGTATGGAATGGCATAACAGAACACTCTACCATATGGCTTCAGGGAGCTATGCACAAATAAAGCATACTTAGAATGTCTGCCTTGCCATTCCAGAACAGGGGCACAAATTCAGATTTCAGTAGCAGGGCAAAAGGATTCATCCTCCACCCCCTGTATCAAAGTGAAGAGGTGGAGTGGTGTGGCACCTAAGTGAGGGAGGAAATAGTGCGCACTCTGTGGCCTGGCGAATGGGTGATGGAGCTCCTGTGGTGTATATAACCCAGTTCAGCACCGCTTGATGCCTGTCTGCACCTCCCTGGTTACACACCAGGACTAGACGCTATTGTCTGTTTGGCAATGAAAGTAATGTTAATTGTTTTTACACATGAAATAGTTTTTAATTGTTTTTTAATTGCTACAGTTGTTTATGCATGCAGAATTGTCTTTATTGCTGGTGTTTTTTTGTTGTGAAATTGCTTTAAGGTATTTTATGGGAAGCAAATGAATGGGATTAATTAAACAAAATGAAACCAAGTAGTGGTATTTGCTAAAGAGCTGCCCCTTCCTCACCCTCTGTCCTGCAGGAACCGGTCTCTCTTAGCAGATGTGGGTGTGCATGAAATAAGTTAGCAGCCACTAATCACAACTTGCAGGAATGCAATGAGTTATGAAGGGAGTTAGAAATGGGAAAAGTTGGTGAGAATCCAGAGACACGGAATGGAGAGTGAAGGAGGACTCCCTGGAGAAGGGGTGGGGAAGCTCCAGCTCACTGGCCAGACCTGGTCCACTAGTCTCCCCATTTGACATGCCAGGCCACCCACCTTGCACCTGAAGTCATACATGATGTCAGGTTCAGAGCAGGTAAGGGTGGGGCTTCAAAGGAACAGTTGTAGCTCCCAGTTTCTGGAGGGACGTGCACTTCCAACCACCCAACAGCTAATGGGTGGTAGGTGTGTGCCTTGCTCAAGAATGTAGAAATAACTTCAATTGAATGGAAAACACTTCTCCCTCCTATGAATGATGTTTGAACAGAACCTTTCAGAACCAGACATCACCAGCAGGCCTGCTCACCAGTCAAACTGGGTCCACAAAGCTGATCCTGATTAGAATCTGGCCCATGAAGTCAGAAAGGTTCCTTATTCTCACACTAAAGCAATCTCTCAGGGCTAGAGATCTCAGTGAGGGATCAGTAATTGGTCCCTTTGGGGCATGACTGTCTTGCCCACTCAAGGGGTGGTGACTTTGCCAAGCTTATTTCAACATGCCAATCCCATAAATGACCTGGGACCCTAATACCTACAAGAGGAAAGTTTTGTTCTACATATGCTATTTTACTTATACAGTGGTACCTCGGTCCTGTTAATGAATGCTTCGGACAACGACCTCTGCAAAACCGGAAGTAGGTGTTCCGGTTAACGCACTTTGCCCCGGAAGACGAACGGAAGCTGGTGGGAGGCCTCATTAGGGAAAGTGTGTGCCTCCGTTTATGAACGTTTTGGTCTAAGAATGGACCTCCGGAACAGATTACGTTTGTAACCCGAGGTACCACTGTATAACTATTTAATGATAGCAATAGTCAAAACGTAGCATCAGTCACTGGCCTAAATGGAGGTGTTCTTGGAGAATAATCACATTTGGCTCAAAATAGTAAGGGTACTGCTAATGGTCTCCCCCTGTTCTCTAAATGCTTTGCAAACTCTAGAAAGACCAAAGCTATTGCCAAGGTCAAGAGTTGCTGGAATACAGAGTCAACAGGGTTGCTTAAAAAAAAAGGAGTAATAACATCTCAAAACCCATGATGGTGCTGGCCGTGGTATTACTGGCATAATTTGTATTCTCCAGTGACTTTAATTGGGGTTGTCCTTGCACTGAGAATAGAAATTTAGAATAAAGGATAAAATTGCTGGCCTGACAAGATTTGTATATATGATCTGCTCAGCTTGAATCAGCCTCCTTAAGATTCAATAATGGTACTCTGCTCACAATACCTTGCGGACGGTTCTTGATCTTTTCCACTGAACTTGAGTAAAGATGGCTGTGGTAGCAGTTGTTGTTTTTTGGTAATATTCTGCAGGAGTTTTCATGCATCTCTATTTTCTCTGCTGAATTTCAATCAGAGAGAAATTTGGGGAAGAAATATCCAAGAAAATTCAAAGGAAGTTAAAATCATTTTGATAAGAGCTCTGAAATTTTTAAGCGTAGCACATCCCCAAGTAACATCAATTCAGCAACAGCTGGATTAAAATGAGGTAACCAATCAGCCTGCTACCTTAAAAGCCTTTGTTATCTTCCCAAACATCTGGAAGGTGGAGGCTCTGGGACTCCTTTGTAGGCAGAGGGTTTGACACAGAGGAAGCCACCAAAGAAACAAAGTGTGTTCATCGTTTGGCCAGTTTACACCTGATGTCTGCGGTGTTCTGAGCTGAGCTCCATCTGAACTTTCTGGAGGCACTGTTGAAAACAGGATGCTGGACTAGGTGAGCATATGGTGAGATCCAGCAAGGTTCTTCTTATGTTCTTACCTGTGAACATGAGGAATGGGGAGTGTGCTTCATTGCAAGTAGCACAGAGTTCTGAGGACTCAGCCCAATGTAATGCCTATGCATTACATTGGGCTGAGTCCTCAGAACTCTGTGCTACTTGAAATGAAGCATATTGTTAGTGATAGGTTTTAGACGTCTGTGTGGACACTGTGGACACTTGGTATAAGGATGTCACTTTCAGCAAGCTACCAACCAAACACTTCATTTCATCAAATGTCTCTGTCTCGCCTTTCCTTCTTTGCAGATCCCCCATAGCTCAATACTAAATGCCTGCTTGAAACATCATCTGTAAAGCTTTTTCGGAAACATCACTTCAGGCAGATGTTTAACCTCAGGGCCCTAAAGGGACAGCTCCGCCGCTTGCCAGCCTTGTCGATTATTTTTACATCAACAATCATGTTAATGTGGTGTGACACAAAGAAGAGCTTTCAAATCTAGCAAGCTGCATTAGATAAACAAGGTGGATGAGTGTCATCCGCAGCTAAACTCATCTGAGCACGTGCTACATTGCAGTGCAGGTCTCAAAAAGCAACCCACACACATATACTGTGTTATATTGCATATGCAGGTTAGATTCCTTGTTAATCCATGAGACATTTATGCTTCTGCCCAGTTGTCATGCATGCAGAGAGAATGTGACAGGCTGGCAAAACTGAATCCTTGGCAAACACTGCAAACCTCAGGCTGTGCTACATTAGTGCTTTGATTTCTCAGCATTTCCTTAATAGCAGCTAGAACAGTGGTGCAAAGAAAGAGAGCAAAACTGATCAGCAGTCTGACACGGAAGGGGTTAGATGGAGAGTTAGAACAAAGGTTGCAAGCATTCCCTTGGTTCTTCTTCATCAGCATCATCTGGAAGTCATGGGAACTTCAGCAGCAACAAATGCTTAATAATGCTTCTTGCAATGAGGGAACCATCAGAAGGCCCTCAGAGCTGAACCTCAGTGTCCGGGCTGAACGATGGGGGTGGAGACACTCCTTCAGGTATACTGGGCCGAGGCCATTTAGGGCTTTAAAGGTCAACACCAACACTTTGAATTGTGCTCAGAAACATACTGGAAGCCAATGTAGGTCTTTCAGGACTGGTGTTATATGGTCTCAGCGGCCACTCCCAGTCACCAGTCTAGGTGCCGCATTTTGGATTAGTTGCAGTTTCCGGGTCACCTTCAAAGGTAGCCCCACGTAGATCGCGTTGCAGTAGTCCAAGAGGGAAATAACCAGAGTGTGCACCACTCTGGCGAGACAGTCTACGGGCAGGTAGGGTCTCATCCTGCGTACCAGATGGAGCTGGTAGACAGCTGCCCTGGACACAGAATTGACCTGTGCCTCCATGGACAGCTGTGAGTCCAAAATGACTCCCAGGCTGTGCACCTGGTCCTTCAGGGCCACAGTTACCCCATTCAGAACCAGGGACCCCCCCACACCCACCTGCCTCCTGTCCGCTCAAAACAGTACTTCTGTCTTGTCAGGATTCCACCTCAATCTGTTAGCAACTTACAAATGAAACAACCAAGAAGAGAAAGATAGAACTGATAACTAGAATCACAGTGCAATTCTTTACATGTCTACACAGGAGGAGGTCCTGCTGCTATCAGTGGGTCTTACTCCCAGGTAAATGTGCATAGGATTTCAACCCTTGGCTATGGACACTTAGACTGCAGTCCTAAGCTTCACACCCTGCAAGCAAACATGCCTTCCAGCATTTATTTTTCACAGCTTATTTCTCCATTATAAAATAGAGTAGGCAAAATTTCAGGGAATGCAAGTTATTGCTTCAGCACAGCATGGTAAATAACTAAGGTGCCTGACTTGCATCCACAAACATGTTGCACAAGCCCTGCAGCAGACCAGGTAAAGAGACTAACAAAAGGCATAATATGGGGACCCAGATGTTGTTTTCTCATGGTAAATTAACAGTTAACATTTTGTTTCTCTACCATAAAAACAAAACAAAACAAAACGGATTGCTTCTCCCCCTCCCTCCCCCACAGACACACACACACACACACACAG